CCTATACTAATTTAGGTCGTATTACTTCTTTGCTTCAGCTTAGCCATGCCTCCTCTAAGAAGTCTTTCTTGATCAACCAGAATTAGGACCCTCCTGTTCATATATTTCTCTGAATATCAGCACATTAAAACAACATGCACAAATTGCTTTTCTCATTCCCTGGGCTTAATCAGTTTGTAAAGACACTGTATCTCAGCTTTTAGGGCAGTGTGTAATAGTTCTTCAATTGTTAAGTGGCTATCAAGCTAGATTCAGTGGTGTTCCTCTAACTGGTATGCAGAACGCTGAGGCAGGGGGATTGAGAGGTCAAGGAAAGGACAGGATGACAGAGGGGAAAGGTGCCTGCTATCGTGCCTAGAGACCCGTGCTGGATTCCTAGGACCCATACAGTGAAAGGAAAACCCTGACTGCTGCACGTTGTCCTCTGGCCTCCACCATGTGGGATATACCGTCCACAAACATGCAAACATAAAAGTAAATTAAAATGTGATGGGAGATGTCATGATGGAGAGTCTGGAGAGAGCTGGACGCCAGCCGCCTCCCTGGTAAGAGAAGGCCATGTGAAAATACATAGATCAGCAGAAATGGGTTAATACTTAAGACAAAGCTAGCCGATAAGAAAGTAGTAACTGGCCAACAGTATAATATCAAATACAGAGTCTCTGTGCATTATTTGGGGCTGGCGCGGCAGCAGGACAAGACCAGGCGGCGGCAGGCGGAAAAACTGTATTCGTTACAAAAATGTAATAACAAAAACTTAAAGAAAGGAAAAAAAAAAAAAACAAAAAACAAAATAAAACCCTAAAGGAGTAAGGCCGGCTTGAATGCTGGTAGCCCCTTCCTAAGTACTGGAGTTCTAGACCAAATAATGCCAGCAGCAGTTTGACTTTCTCTGCTGCCTGATCCTCTGGGATGTCAGTCAGTAAACTGTTACTGCAGATTCCGCTACCATAGTTGTCCCACCAGAAAAGAATGTATCCTCAAAAGTTTTCTTCCCTTACCCTCCTCCTCAACAAGTATCCAGTTACCGGCAATGAGAAAAGTAGCTAATATGTTTCATAATTTCTAAAAAAAAAGTCTTAAAAAAGCTCTAATTTGGAAACACTTAAAATCTGTTACAATCAGCCAGGTGGTAGCACCCGCCTTTCATCCTAGCACTCAGGAGGCAGAGGCAGGTAGATCTGAGTTAAGAGGCCAGAAGAGCCAGGGCTACACAGGGAAAAACCAAAACAAAGAGAAAACCTTGCTACATTCACAATGGCTTTTACTAATAGGAATTCTACATATACTAGCTCTTAGAGAAAACATGATTCTATCTGGTATTCTTCATATTATTCTTTTTCAAGTTCCCTCTGCCTAGTAATAGTTTTCCGTGTGTGTGTGTGTGTGTGTGTGTGTGTGTGTGTGTAGGCCAGAGGACAACTTTGGGAATTGTATTTCAAGAGCCATCTGGCTTGCCACCCACCCCAAAAATAGCACTGATACATATACACACATATGTGTGCATGTATATTAATTTAAGTGTGCATGTGCAAAGGCTAATCTCGTCAACCTAGGTACAGCCGGGCACACCTGTGAGGGATTTTTCTTGGTTGGACCATCTGAGGTGGGAAGACTCTTATAAAATCTGGGCCACACCTTCTGGTCACAGCCCACATAAAGGTACAGAAGGAAACTGCTTCCTTGCCTGCTTGCCCTCACTCTCATGGGTAAATTCATCTGTCCTGTTGCTGAGACACTTCACTGGTATACGAGCCCCTTCACTGGGGTTCCAATATAGACCAAAGACTGGTACTTCTCTAGGACTCCAGCACCAGAGTGGGGTGACCCAGACACCCAGTCTCATGAACTGAACAACTATCAGGTCCTTGACCTTTCTGTCAGGAGACAGCCATTGTTGGACTACAGGGATCACAGTCACTCCTATAAACCCCATATGCATGTACTATCAGTTCTGTTCCTCTAGAGAACCCAGACTAATACAACATATATTCTAGAAATATAAATACACTCTGCTTCAGTCTGTATGTTACTCATATGCATATGGTTTGGGGGCTGACCATTTAGTACTGGATAATCAATTGGTGTGCTCTTCCCTGGATGGCTTTGACTGAACCCCCCCCCCCCCAGGGCTGGCTTTCATGGCACCAAGCTGTGCCACAAAAACTTCCTAAGGAGGAAGACAACCAGCAGTCCTACCCTGCTATGATGCCTATGAACCACAACAATGACCAGCAAGGCACAATAACCCTACGGGTGCAACAGTGATTACCTGTCAGTCACCAACAGCTCTCAACAAGAAGGAAATCATGAATGCCACTGGAAACCTAGCCAACTATGCAGGGGTAGTGAAACTTAAATCAGCATCAGTCTACATAATCCTATAGCATAAACTACACTCTAAATTATTTATCCTTATGCCCACAGGTAAATACAGGTCTCATCCCTCACCAGCTTGGTTTTCTGAGGTAGGGTCTCCACAGACCTGGAATCACGAACCAGCTAGGTTGGAGGGCCTATGAGCCCCCAGAATCTTCCAGTCTGTCTCCTGAGAGCTGAAATTATAAGTGCATACCACCATAGCCAGCTTTTTTTTTTTTTAACAAGTACCCTAGAGATCAAAGAAATATATAGCAGGCTATAGGTTGTTTCCCAGGTGGTGTGTAAGTAGACATGTAGAGCTAAACATACTTTTCCCTAGAAAATGTGTGATAATAGTATACAGCCTAATAGCTTGTAGGCCAGCTGAAATCCTGAGCTTCCATCCAGGCTCAGTAAGAGACTCTGTCTCAAAAAAAATAGGGGGAGAGTAATAGAGGAAGGTACCTGCTGTCCTCATTGGACTACACACATCTGCACATACCACAGATCCACAAAAAAAGGAAACTGTCTGCAGAGGAAAACCTAACACTGAAGTCATCTCAGAACAAGTAAAGGGACCCCCCCCACACTTGGTCTTGTATTTATGGATTTCCCCATTCTCGTAGTTTTTCAAATCAATAGAATCCATTTTCTGGTTTGTTTTGCCTTCTTCCTCCTCTTCTTGAGACAGGGTCTTCTCATTCTGCAACCCTGGCTGCTTCAACTCCTCAGTGTACCACCATTATATAAATAAATTAGTATTTAGTAAAGTAAGCTCATTCAAGAAATAACATAAAACTTGGGCTTTTAAAGACAGTCTTACTCTGGGCATGGCTACCTACTCCTGTAATCCTCCAGAGATAGAGGCAGGCAGATATCTGTGATCTGAATTCAAGGCCAGCCTGGTCAGGATAGCCAGGGTTACATAGAGAAACCCTGTTTTGAAAAACTAAAAGGAGTCTTGTAGCCTGGAATTTACAGAGGTCCACCTGCCTCTGTTTCCCAAGTGCTGGGATTAGAATTATATGCCACCAAACTCCATCCATCAAAACTTCTTTTTTAAAAAAAAGTCTAGCTGTCAAGATGTTGGGTATGGTGGTGGCTTGAGCCTTTAATCTAATCATGATTAGAACTAGAAAGATGTGAGTTTGAGGCCAGCCTGGTCTACATAGCAAACAGGGCAATTCTGTCTTTAACCTGGTAGTGTGCGACCCTGCTTTAACCCTGACACTCAGGAGGCAAAAGCAGATGGATCTCTGTGAGTTCCAGGCCAGCCTGGTTTACAGAGGAAGTTCCAGGACTGCCAAGGCTACACAGAAAAATCCTGTCTTGGAATACTAAAAACAAAGAAGCAAGAAAGTCAACCACACCTTGTGGCATCTTCCTCTAACCCCTGCATTTGGAAAACTAAAGCAATGTAAGGAGTTTGAGACCAGTCTGGGCAACAAACAAAGATCTAGCCTGGAATACACAGGGCCTTGTATCAAAAAAGAAAAAAAAAAAAAAGAAGAAGAAAAATAAAAAGAAAAAAAATGGTGTTAGGAAAGGTGGTATGCATCTAAAATCCTAGCACTAGAGAAACAGGCAAGGAGTCCCCACAAGTTCAAAACCATCCTGGTCTATGTATCAACCTGCAAGCGAGCCAGGGCTCCATAGTGAGACTTTGTCTAAAATCAAAATGCTAGCCAGGACTGTCAAACTAGATAGTAAATCTTTTAATCTGTCACGACCTCCGTGACTACATCATTGTAATTTAAAAGCAGCCACATACACTAAGAAAATAATACACATACAATATGAAATGTGACTGGATTCCAATAAAAAGTTATTTATGGAGTTGGGCGCGGTGGCTGAGGCAGGAGGGTGACCTACAGTTGTAAACCCGCCTAACCTTCACAGTGCAGTCCACCCAAGCCTAGGGGAGGAGAGACACAACTGTTGCCTTAAAAGAAACAAAAAAAAAAAAAAAAAAAAAAAAAAAAAAGAGTGAGCGCTAAAGTTTTATTTAATATAATTTCCAATGTCGTAAAATACCCCCCCCCTTTTTTTTCTGTGAGTGTTGAGGCAAACCTTAAACCTTGCACTTGGGAGGTGGACGGAGGAGGATCAGAACTTCTAGGCCACCTTCCACTACATCTTTAGGTGAAGGCCAGAATGGGTTACATCAGACCAGTCACAAAACAAACCATGGCGGGGGGGGGGGGGGGTTAGTCTGCCTGCGGATCTGTCTGCTGCTCACACTGCGCACGCTTAGGAAGAGAGCTCAGGGCGGCGAGCCATCACTGACAGAAACCTGGGGCCAGGTGGAGCAGGCTGATCGTCCTGGGTCGCCGCGCTCCGCCTCCCCAGCCTGGACACCGCCAGGCGCAGCGCGCACCGCCGAGATCCCCGCCTGGCGGCCGGCGCGGGCAGCCGCACCGACGGCGGGGGATGGGAGCCAGGCCGGCGGCCCGCGGAGCTCAGGCGGCCGGGCGCGGGTGAGGCGGCAGACTGCCCTCGGCTCGGGTCTCCCGCCGCCTCCCTCGGGCTCGCCGTCTCCCCGCGCCGCGCTCCACTTGGCCTCCCGCCGTCGTCCGGCCCGGGATAGCAGCCGTCGCCACGGTCGCCAACCGCTTTTCCACTTCCCGGCCCCCACTCACCTCTGCCGCGCCGCAGCCCGCACCTTCCCCAGCTACTCAGCCTTCCAGATTGGCCGTCCCGGGACCTCCTGCCAATCAGCCAATCCCCGCCCCTGGCCGGGCCCAGGCTGACCAGTGAGAGGCTCGCTGCGGCCTGGGGGCGGGCTCAGGAGCGGCGAGCCGGAGGGCGTGGTCTGCCTCCACCCCCACCCCCAGCGTTGCCGGCTACCTTTCCGGGTACTGTGCGCAGGCGCGGAGCACAGTAAGGGGCGTGTGCTTTTGCGTGGACCGTGCTTTGTGTCTTCAGTGCTGGTGCGCGGTCACTTTTGTTTGTGCGCTTCCCCCCTCGCGGGTCCCCGAATGTGGTCGCCAGTGCGTGCCGGCTGTGACCCAGCCTAGCCTGTGTCGAGCCCTTTTCCCAACCCGCGCTCTGTGGGGACCCACCCCGGTTTCGGGCCTCACATCCCGGATGTCTGCTCTGGAGAAGTAGGAATGCATGTGGCGCTGCTCACAGAATGAAGTTTACTTTGCTGCCGTCAGTTGCCCATCTCCAAGTCGGCCGATTTGCTACACTTTTGTTGGTTGGTTGGATGGTTTAGTTTAGTGGTTTGGTTTTTTGTTTTTTTTTTTTTTCCAAGACAGGTTTCTCTGTTTTGTCTTGGCTGTCCCAGAACTTACTCTGTGGGCCAGGTTTGGCCTTGAACGCAGAGATTTACCTGCCTCAAAGGCTTTCCCCATCTGCCAGGGTGCTTGCTTGTGCGTGTGCTTTTTAGTGAATGGCTATTCTGAGACCCTCTAGATTTCAAATAACCTTGTCGTGAGAACATAATCTGTCTAACTAGCCATAAGCAGCGTGGTAATGTGTGGGAGCGCGATAAAAACATGAATATGGAGGGAACCCTATCAGCATTACTAGAGGCCGTTGCTAGTTGGGCGTGGTGGCTCATGCCTGTAAACCTAGCAGTTTGGAGGTGGAGGATTTGGAGTTGAAAGTCAGCCTACACCACTGGAAACAGAAAACAAACGGGGGGAGAGGGGACAGCGGGCAATTGCTACTTAGCCTTTTCTCTTGCCCTCTCTTTGGCAGAAGAATCCGAAGTAGCTGGTGTTCTTGCTCAGGGTGGCCTACATTCCTCCTGGCTGGGACTTTGTATTTCAGCAGATCTTCTTTTCAGTTACTCAGTAACGACTTGTTGGAAGCCCACTTTGACATTACAAAGTTGGGGGGGGTGGTTTTTGTTGTTGTTGGTGGTGGTGGTGGTTTTTCTTTTTTCTTTCTTTCTTTCTTTTTTTTTTTTTTAAGCTTGAACCACACCCTGAGTGAGCCTACTGTATACCAGGGAGATGAAGACAGCATTACCACATGTGATCAAATGTTATAATGCAAATACCAAAGGGAGGACCAGACAGAGCATGACCAAGGGGGGGATGCCTCAGAGAACGGTTCAGGGAGGGGGGGGGGAATGCCTCAGAGAACGGTTCAGGGAGGGGGGAATGCCTCAGAGAACGGTTCAGGGAGGAGTGAGTGTTATAACAAAGTTTGAGGGGGGCCTTGGTGGATTCCATGGTGGGTGAGGATGACCGAGGTGGGGGACAAACATGCCAGGCAGACAGAACTTAAGTGAGAAGTTTTATTAGAAAAGGAAGGGGAGAGGATGTAAAGAGACACAGAAGAGAAGGAAACAGGAAAAGTCCTGTCTGTCCCAGAGGCACGGCACAGGGGACTTTCTTTTAAAGGGGTCCTTTGCACCTGGGCTGACTAGGGTACTGCCTGGGTGCATTCTGCCAGATGACAGGGGCAGGCCAGCATAATGCCTGAGTCCTTACAGACTCAGTCCTTGGTCAGAGGCTTGGTGAAAGGACAGAAGCTACTGAGTTGAACTGGTAGGGACAACAAACAGGATTGGCATTCCTGGCAATGGTTACTTGCTTCTGGAATACTTGTAGGATTTACTGGAAGCTAGTGGTTGTTTAGGAGCCCTGATCACTAGCTGTGAGACAGGACATGTACCTATGCCATGTTTGAAGTGGGGGATATCTGAAAGCACCCCTTAGCTGGAGATTGGTTAAAACCTGTTTTGGGTTGGTTGGTTTCTTGTTTTTGTTTTATTCTTTGCAGCTTTCCTTCCTTCATACCTTGCTTTATCGTCAAGTGCCCTGGAGGGGTCCTGGACTGTTTGAGGGCCTGGATGAAGGAGAGATGACTTAACCTGAGCAATCTCATCACAAATTATTGTTGCTTCTCCCAATAGTGGGATCATTTCTAAGAATTCTGACCAAGCTGTGTGCCATCATCTCATTCAGTACTGTGACGCAGAGGGCCTAGCAACATTGCTTGGCACCTGGTGCCAAATCCTGGCGAAGACAAAGGGTTTTAAACACGTGGAGCCAGGGACTGATCTAGGAGAAAGTCCTGCAGTCTTTTGAATCAACTTTGAGGCTTTGCTTTTTGAAAGAAATAAAAATATTTTGTAATAAATTTAGTTTTACAGAGAAATGGCAAAGGGTAGAAGAATTCTGGTGTTCCCTTCACCCAGTGTTCCCTAATCTTACATTACCATGGCACATTTACAGAATTAGAAATCCAGCCCTCAGGGCTGGAGAGGTGACTCAGCATTTAGAGCACTGGCTGCTCTTCCAGAAGACCTGGGCTCAATCCCCAGCACCCACATGGCAGCTCACAACTGTCTGTGACTCCAGTTCCAGCAGATCTAACACATTCACAGACATACAGGAAGGCTTTACCAACACACATAAAATAAAATGAAATGAAATAAAATAATTTTTTTTAAAAAGGGAAGAAGTCCAGCCCTCATACATTATTACTGACCTGGCTGGTTGACAAAGCTAGAGTCATGAGAAAGGAAGGAGCCTCAGTTGAGAAAATGCCTCCATAAGACCCAGCTGTAAGGCATTTTCTCAATTAATAATCGATGTGGGAGGGCCCAGCTCATGGGCGATGCCATCCCTGGGCAGGTGATCTTGGGTTCTATAAGAAAGCAGGCTGAGCAAACCAGGGGAAGCAAGCCAGTGAGCAGAACCCTGTCCCCCTCCATGGGTTCTGCATCAGCTCCTGCCTCCAGTATCCTGTCCTGTTTTGAGTTCCTGTCCTGACTTCCATCAGTTGATGAACTACAATGTGGAAGTATAAACCAGAAAAACCCTCATCTTGCTTGTTGGCCATGTGTTTCACTGCAACAATAGAAACCCTAATTACTGGCAAAAACTCAAGACTTCCTTCAGGTTTTATTTATTTTTGTTCTAGAGTTATCTATTTTTAATTTGTGCCCATTGGTGTTTTGCCTGCATGCACCTTTGTGTGAGGATGCCAGAGCCTTTCAAACTGGAATTGCAGTCAGTTGTGAGCTACCATGTGTTGCTGGGAATTGAACCCTGGTCCTCTGGAAGAGTAGCCAGTGCTCTTAACCGCTGAGCCATCCCTCCAGCCCTATTCAAGTTTTATTAACACTTAGTCATATAATCACCCTCGACCCCTCTGGTGTAGTCTTTAGTGTTTTAGTCTTATTTTTCATGACTGTTACAGTTTTGAGACATATAGTCAGGTATTTTGTAAAGTACTCCTTGATTTGTGATGACAGAGTTTCTGTTCTGCCCTGTCCCACCATCCCTGAGTCCCAGATAAACACACAGAGGCTTATATAATTATAAATTGTTAGGCTGATGGTTCAGGCTTCTTATTGGCTAACTCTCTCTTAATCATTAACCCATGTCTATCGAACTGTGTATTGCCCCAAGGCTGTGGCTTACCCATAATGTTCCTGCATGGTACTCCTTCCACAGCTACATGGATTCTCCCTCTTCCTAGAATTCTTGTCTGGTAGCCCCACTTCCTGCCTGGCTACTGGCCAATCAGCATTTATTCATCAACCAATAAGAGAAGCATATTCACAGCAACCAGAAGGACACCCCCCCATCAGATTTGAATTTGGTATTTTTTATTTTAACTAGACTATAATTATAGTATTTGAGGAAATGCTACATATAGAGAGATATCTGACTCACATAATACCAAAGGGAATATGTTATCAGTGATGTTTTGGACATCCGACCATGCAGTTTTTCTTGTGTGTGGGTGCGCAAGACAAGTCCTAAGTTCTGCCTGAATTTAAGAGGACTATAGGATGAAGCCTCAACTCTTGAAAGGGCATACTTGAGTACACTACCACATTATTTGGAATTCTATTATAAGGAAAATTTGCCTCTTTTTCTTATTTATATTCAATCATTAATGTAGACTTACATATGTATGTGTTGTTTTAAATTTATTTTGTGATTTTTATTTCTTTGCACAAAGCTCTTTTAGGTTGGCTTGTGTGGCCATTTTGCCTTTTGGTTATGTCCTTTCTCCGAGACCTATAAGATGCTATAGTTTCATTTTGTGTATTTCTTGCCCCAAGTCCTACAGCCCTTTCTCCAAGGAGCCCTAGACTGTTTTTGTTTTTGTTTTTGTTTTTGAAGGCTTAGGTACCAAGTAGCCTCGTCACTGCTGGAATATCTTCAAACTTAGAATTGTGAACTGACAAAGCTGATGTGTTTTCACCATGTTGATTGGTTTTTTAAAAGCATTTGATTTGATGGGCTGGAAAGATGGTTCAGTGGTTAAGAGCTCTGACTGCTCTTTCAGAAGTCCTGAGTTCAATTCCCAGCAACCACATGGTAGCTCACAATCATCTGTAATGGGATCCGATTCCCTCTTCTGACATGTAGGTATATGCAGATATCTCATATACATAAAATACATAAATAAAGATTTAAAAATAATTATTTGTATGTGTGCATATTTGTATGAGTACAAGGCCTTTGCGTGTGTGTGGAGGCCAGGAGGGGGCATGAGGTGTCCTCTAATACTGTTTGCCTATTCCTTTGAGGCAGGATCTCTCTGAGTCAGGAGCTTGCGTTTTCTCAGCTAGGCTATATCAAGCTTGTCAGGTGGGTCCTGGGCTCTGAACTCTTCATGATTGCACAGCAGGTGCTCTTAACCACTGAACCTCTCTCCAGCCCCTTGTGTTTATTAACTCTTCATTTAGAGCCCTGTGATAGCTACCTTCTGAAGTGGCCCTTACTTAGCTCCACCTCCTGGTTCCTCTTCTTTGACATGGGCCGGAGTTAGTAACTTAGTTCTTATGGACAGAATATAGCAAGTGCTAGAGGATGCTGGTTTTAAGATCCATTTATAAAAAGACCATGAC